AAGCGTCTCAAAATCGAAAAATGGATTTTTTAAGATTAGAAAAAAAACACCGCTATTTTAACTAGTTGCGATTTTAGTGGGTTTTTTTTTAACTATGTTAGAACATAAATCAGGCCATTGTTTTTCTCTTTTAAATGATTTCTCATTTTTTCATACCGGGGCATTTTATAACATGTATAACTGGGTTTACTCATCAGTGTTGAATGACGTACAGTGTCCTATAGTAACTGTTGATAACATCCTCGTATTTTGTTCTTTCAATTGACGGAAAGTTTTCATGATACCGCATCTTTTTATTTATAAGCCAATATATCCATTTGTTGAATTAAGATGATACATTTCAAATGTAGGACATAAAAGCCCCGGACACGAAGATGGTACCAGAAAAAAGTCAGGTTAGAGATAGTTTGTCTCTGATTTACAATGTCAAAAACTTATTTTATAGTAATAGTTTGTGTTTTCTTGAACATTAATAATTATAAGTATAAACAACTTTGTAAACAAAATTAATTCACGGTAAAAGAATTCATAATGATCTAGTGATTATTTAGAAAATAGGCTGCGAAAATTTGTTATTACTTGACTGGCTTTATGGTACCAAGAAATATATCCTTTGCATGAATAAAATTTGATAAGTCTTCATTTATCAATTCTAACGAACAATATCCCAAGCTGTATAATGAATTTATGTGATAAAAAGAAAGTACTTCAATAATTTAAGTTTCTCTAATATATTCAAACGATAGTAAACAGTTTTACTATTTAATGGTGAATTTTTGTCCTATCAATTATGTGACGGTCAGGCATGGGACTTTGTGCCATTTACTTGCAACTCAGGACTGAAAAATTACCTTTACTTATGACCTCATAATTACCATTGTAAAGTCAATCGTTTACGGTTTCATAGTTAGTCGTGAATTCTTTCTACTACAGCCCAAGTAATTGCATATTTAAATATAATTTTTCTTTCTCTTTAAAACCAAGTGTCTTGCTGATAGCAAGGATTTAAAACTATACAAATCCTTGCTGATAGTTAACATGTTCAAGGATTCCCACTGATTACAATCAATTAACACATATATGATCATCAATAGACCATCGCGACACATATCGAGAGTTGTCTTATCTTGCGAACTGGATACCAGATGAGTCAAGGAGATTAGAAACCCAGTTCAAAAGAATTATTTCTTAATTTGAGTTATCTCCCTCAAAAGTGTCCACAATTCTTGTACATGGAAGTATGAAAGCAAGTTACATTTGGACTTGTATAAATTTTTATGATTCTTGAAACATAATAAATGTGTCTGAGAAATACTGGAAGAATGATGCCAACTCTTGTTGATATTCCTTTCAAGGTTTGAAGCATGTAATTAAATCTAATCATATTTGTAATGTGAAGGAGATGTTGGAAGAATTGACTTTAAAATCTAATCTTGTATTTGACATTAAGATGCTGTATTGTGGCGATATCACAGCAAATAAAATAAAGTTGACAAGTGCTTGCTGTCTCCAATTTCACCAAATCTGTTTATTGGATATTATCTCCTGTCTTTGTTTGGTTTGTCAGATAAGTGGCAATTGAAATTTGCTGAAATCAGATAACGGAAAATTATGCTTGAAAGCAAAAGGGCAAATAATTAAAATGTATATAATTACTGTAAGATAGAGTTAGATGCACTTAACAAATGTTTTTGTTAACAACTACATGAGGTCCTTTAGTAAATGTTTCCAGTAACAATTGCATGAGGTCCTTTAGTAAATGTTTCTATTAATAACTGCATGAGGTCCTTTAGTAAATGTTTTTCTATTAACAACTGCATGAGGTCCTTTAGTAAATACTTCTATTAACAACAACATGAGGTCCTTTAGTAAATGTTTTTATTAACAACAACATGAGGTCCTTTAGTAAATACTTCTATTAACAACAGCATGAGGTCCTTTAGTAAATACTTCTATTAAAAACAACATGAGGTCCTTTAGTAAATACTTCTATTAACAACTGCATGAGGTCCTTTAGTAAATACTTCTATTAACAACAACATGAGGTCCTTTAGTAAATGTTTCTATTAACAACAACATGAGGTCCTTTAGTAAATACTTCTATTAACAACTACATGAGGTCCTTTAGTAAATGTTTCTATTAACAACAACATGAGGTCCTTTAGTAAATACTTCTATTAACAACAACATGAGGTCCTTTAGTAAATACTTCTATTAACAACTACATGAGGTCCTTTAGTAAATAATTCTATAATCAACAGCATGAGGTCCTTTAGTAAATACTTCTATTAACAACAACATGAGGTCCTTTAGTAAATGTTTCTATAACCAACAGCATGTGGTCCTTTAGTAAATACTTCTATTAACAACTACATGAGGTCCTTTAGTAAATACTTCTATTAACAACTACATGAGGTCCTTTGGTAAATACTTCTATTAACAACTACATGAGGTCCTTTAGTAAATGTTTCTATTAACAACTACATGAGGTCCTTTAGTAAATGTTTCTATTAACAACTACATGAGGTCCTTTGGTAAATGTTTCTATTAACAACTACATGAGGTCCTTTAGTAAATACTTCTATTAACAACAACATGAGGTCCTTTAGTAAATACTTCTATTAACAACTACATGAGGTCCTTTAGTAAATGTTTCTATTAACAACTACATGAGGCCCTTTAGTAAATGTTTCTATTAACAACTACATGAGGTCTTTTAGTAAATACTTCTATTAACAACAGCATGAGGTCCTTTAGTAAATGTTTCTATTAACAACTATATGAGGTCCTTTAGTAAATGTTTCTATTAACAACTACATGAGGTCCTTTAGTAAAGTTTCTATCAACAACTACATGAGGTCCTTTAGTAAATGTTTCTATTAACAACTACATGAGGTCCTTTAGTAAATGTTTTTTATTAACAACTACATGAGGTCCTTTAGTAAATACTTCTATAATCAACAGCATGAGGTCCTTTAGTAAATACTTCTATTAACAACAACATGAGGTCCTTTAGTAAATGTTTCTATTACCAACAGCATGTGGTCCTTTAGTAAATACTTCTATTAACAACTACATGAGGTCCTTTAGTAAATACTTCTATTAACAACTACATGAGGTCCTTTAGTAAATGTTTCTATTAACAACTACATGAGGTCCTTTAGTAAATGTTTCTATTAACAACTACATGAGGTCCTTTGGTAAATGTTTCTATTAACAACTACATGAGGTCCTTTAGTAAATACTTCTATTAACAACAACATGAGGTCCTTTAGTAAATACTTCTATTAACAACTACATGAGGTCCTTTAGTAAATGTTTCTATTAACAACTACATGAGGTCCTTTAGTAAATGTTTCTATTAACAACTACATGAGGCCCTTTAGTAAATGTTTCTATTAACAACTACATGAGGTCCTTTAGTAAATACTTCTATTAACAACAGCATGAGGTCCTTTAGTAAATGTTTCTATTAACAACTACATGAGGTCCTTTAGTAAATGTTTCTATTAACAACTACATGAGGTCCTTTAGTAAAGTTTCTATCAACAACTACATGAGGTCCTTTAGTAAATGTTTCTATTAACAACTACATGAGGTCCTTTAGTAAATGTTTCTATCAACAACTACATGAGGTCCTTTGGTAAATGTTTCTATTAACAACTACATGAGGTCCTTTAGTAAATGTTTCTATTAACAACTACATGAGCTCTTTTAGTAAATGTTTCTATTAACAACTACATGAGGTCCTTTAGTAAATGTTTCTATTAACAACTACATGAGGTCCTTTAGTAAATGTTTCTATTAACAACTACATGAGGTCCTTTAGTAAATGTTTCTATTAACAACTACATGAGGTCCTTAAGTAAATGTTTCTAAACCAGTAAATAATTTCAGGCTATATTATGTAATTATATAATGAAGTAAGTAAGTGTTTGCATATAAGGTTGGCTTTTCGGTTGATTTGATGTTTGTGTGGGCAACGGGAAAAACATCTTTGTTCCCATCATTCATGCAGTGTATATGTAGCAGCCCCTGTCTCCATTTTAATTTCCAGAATTTGGGACTATTTGTCAACCTTTTGGTAGAATTGTTTGAAATTTGAAATTGATACCCAAGGACCATGGAATACAGATTTAATTTGACATAACACATTCAACAATAATGATATTTCATTATTTGAAAATTTTGATAATTCATCTGATTGGCACGATGCCTTAATATAGTCCTTTTTATGAGTATGACAGTGAATTGTCATGTTAGTAGTTCCTCTTGCAAATACCAAGCAAACTGATGTATAATTATGATCAGTAAATACAGATTACATAAAATCATACTGGTTTGGTTAATAAAGGGCACAACAACACACTATATCCAAAACCAATTCAACAAAATAATTTATGAACAACAGATAGTCTAGATATTCACCTTACCTAAAGCAAGAATCTGTGTTGGACAACCCTCCCCCCTCCCTAAAAATATAATTTGAGAACCAAGGATATAAAACTGCCTGATTGTTTGATGCCAAGTGTATTTTTTCATGTGTTTCTTTGATTGGATGAATTTTGTTCATATTTCACAATCGCTGGGGTATATGCCCAGGGATATGCCTTTTTAACCCTCTCTGTGGTGGTATTTGCCAAACTGTTTATACCATTATTTGTCCTTAAAGGCAGAGACACTTGATCATTTGTGCGATTTATTATTATATAACATGACTGTTTTTGATATCGTCTATCAAACAAAGAATATTGGAATTGAATTTGAAATGTTACAATTAACAATTTCTATTGGTATTTGGGGAAAAATACCAGTCTTGAAGAAATTTCCTTTATCTAGTAGCTAAGGAAATAAAAACCTTCTTTCGACTGGTATTTTTGGCATTACCCTCCTGACCATGATATATATCTCTTCAGAACACTGAAGGAGTTATTTGACCTAAAAGAATAACCAAATTCCCCAAGTTATGTTTTGAAGTAAATTTGATTTTTGTTTTGCAGATGGGAATTACAGAAAATCATGCTCAGTACAACAGTTTTCATGTGGAGACAACTCGTGTATTTCTATTGATCAAATCTGTGATTTTAGACATGACTGCCTAAACGGACAAGATGAGAGCAATGTGACTTGTGGTAAGGGGTAATATTATATTAGGTGCTGAATTTTCAAATTATTTTCGCTCAACCATCACGGATGAGACATTAATTAATGAAATGGGCACCTGGTGCAGTAAAATTAGAACTGTTAATGTTATTACATGCTTTAAAAAAGAAGGTAGGAAATTATTATCTATAGTGGACAGTTTGATATAAAAATAAGATGATGTAGTATAATTGCCAAGGAGACAACTCTCCACCAGAGACCAAATGATACAGAAATTATCAACTATAGGTCACCATACGGCCTTCAACAATGAGCAGAACCCATACCGCATAGTATGTGTTTATTTTTTAGCTCACCTGGCCCGAAGGGCCAAGTGAGCTTTTCTCATCACTTTGCGTCCGTCGTCCGTCTGTTAACTTTTACAAAAATCTTCTCCTCTGAAACTACTGGGTCAAATTTAACCAAACTTGGTCACAATCATCATTGGGGTATCTAGTTTTTAAAATGTGTCCGGTGATCCGGACAACCAACCAAGATGGCCGCCATGGCTAAAAATAGAACATAGGGGTAAAATGTAGATTTTGGCTTATATCTCTGAAACCTAAGCATTTAGAGCAAATCTGACATGGGGTAAATTATTTATCAGGTCAAGATCTATCTACCCTGAAAACCGTTGTTGGGTTGCTGCCCCTGAATTGGTAATTTTAAGGAAATTTTGCCGTTTTTGGTTATTATCTTGAATATTATTATAGATAGAGATAATCTGTAAACAGCAATAATGTTCAGCAGAGTAAGATCTACAATTAAGTCAACTTGACCAAAATGGTCAGTTGACCCCTTAAGGAGTTATTGCCCTTTATAATCAATTTTTAACCATTTTTCGTAAATTTTTGTAATCTTTTACAAAAATCTTCTCCTTTGAAAATACTAAGACAAATTTAACCAAACTTGTCCACAATCATCATTAAGGTATATAGTTTAAAAAATGTGTCCAATGACCCCGCCCGCGAACCAAGATGGCCGACATGGCTAAAATATAGTACATGGGTAAAATGCAGTTTTTGGCTCATATCTCTGAAACCAAAGCATTTAGAGCAAATCTGACTCGGGGTAAAATTGTTTATCAGGTCAAGATCTATCTGCCCTGAAATTTTCAGACCAATCAGGCAAATCGTTGTTTGGTTGCTGCCCCTGAATTGGTAATTTTAATGAAATTTTGTTGTTTTTGGTTATTATCTTGAATATTATTATAGATAGAGATAAACTGTAAACAGCAATAATGTTCAGCAAAGTAAGATCTACAATTAAGTCAACTAGACCAAAATGGTCAGTTGACCCCTTAAGGAGTTATTGCCCTTTATAGTCAATTTTTAACCATTTTTTGTAAATTTTTGTAATCTTTTACAAAAATCTCCTCTGAAACTACTAAGACAAATTTAACCAAACTTGTCCACAATCATCATTAGGGTATATAGTTTAAAAAATGTGTCCGATGACCACGCCCGCGAACCAAGATGGCTGACATGGCTAAAAATAGAACATAGGGGTAAAATGTAGATTTTGGCTTACATCTCTGAAACCAAAGCATTTAGAGTAAATCTGACTGGGTAAAACTGATTATCAGGTCAAGATCTATCTGCCCTGAAATTTTCAGACCAATCAGGCAACACGTTGTTGGGTTGCTGCCCCTGAATTGGTAATTTTAAGAAAATTTTGCAGCTTTTGGTTATTATCTTGAATATTATTATAGATAGATATAAACTGTAAACAGCAATAATGTACAGCAAAGTAAGATCTACAAATAAGTCAACATGACCAAAATTGTCAATTGACCCCTTAAGGAGTTATTGCCCTTTATAGTCAATTTTTTACAATTTTTTCATAAATTTTGTAAATTTTTGTAAATTTTTACAAAATATTTTCCACTGTAACTACTGGGCCAAGTTCATTATAGATAGAGATAATTGTAAGCAGCAAGAATATTCAGTAAAGTAAGATCTACAAACACATCACCATCACCAAAACACAATTTTGTCATGAATCCATCTTTGTCCTTTGTTTAATATGCACATATACCAAGGTGAGCGACACAGGCTCTTTAGAGCCTCTAGTTTCACTTTCTTGAGAAAAATAGGCATTCGGAATGTTAAATAAAAACAGACCTTCTGTTAAAATGAATACATAGACTTCATGATCATCTGTGAACAACACACTCAGTATAAGAAAGATAACTCTATATATTCCATTGCACTTCAAAGTAAATATAAATGAGGATATAAATGATTCTCTGAAGTAAACAGATAAAATTTGTACAGTGTATTAACAGCTGAGTAAAACTGATTTGGTTAAAGAAAATAGATTTGTTAAATGATTTGGTGTATTAAAATTTTTCTTTCTAAACCAACTTACACTATCTAACTTCCACTTTTGTTTATTTTTCATCACAGTTTTTCCCTCGCACTTGTGCTGTGCGGTCAACCAATTACTAAGGAGAGGTCTTGTGGTTATGGACACTGCATACAAAAGGCTATCAGCAAATTAGAGTACTGGAAGACAATAATTTAATAGCAGTACATTTCTGAAGATTTTGATAAGATAAAGCATTTTAGTTCAAAAGAAAGTCCATTTACATGTGTTTTGTATTAAAACTTAGCCATTTGAGAATATTAAACATATTCAACTTTTTTTTAAAGGAGTAGGTCCGGTAAGGGCCGATTTTGGCCTCAAAATTCAGGTTCATCCAATGAAAGATTTTGGACACTTTTTAAACACTTAAGTGTCTACTTCAGTCGATTCAATTAGTTTATGTGAAAGATTTGAACTGATTTAGTCATTAAAGACGCTCAAATTCAAGCTTAAATATGAAAAATCTATCAAATATGCCATAATATGTCACTTTTCAGATGGTTTTTGTCAAAAATGAAAGTGGCCACATCAGTGTTCATTCTCAACCTTTATATATGTTATGCATTATCATCAAATACAACTTACATTTTAATAATAAGAATGAACACAAATGCGGCCACTTCCATTTCAGACGGAAACCGTCTAAATATTAACCAAAATGCTAAAATTTCGAAGATTTCAGTAATTTAGCATGACTTAATGATGCTAGTACCCTATACATGTGAATTGTATTGTCAAAAACAGCCCATATTTATGTAACAGAAGTATTCTTCTTTCCAATAAATAGCTAAAAATTTACATTTTAACAATTTTGTAAAACTGCTATATTTTGGGGCCAAAAAGGGGTCTTACTGGGCCTACTCCTTTGTAACATCAAATGACTTAAACCACAATCATTGCTACTTACTTATCATTGCAGGTTCCTTGCCAATTGGAGCATATTGTAACTTTGATAGTCCTGATTGGTGTGGCTGGCATAATGTACAAAGTGGAGATTTGATCAAAGATGATTTGGACTGGAAGTGGCATACTGGTTCAACTCCCACCCAAGATACAGGTCCAACCGAGGACCACACAACAGGAAATGGTAAATAGTTTGTTATTTGTGTTGATGATGTGATTTATTGTGTCACCTGATGTAGAAACAACACATAGTGATCACTGCTGTAATTTTACATTGTTTTCATTCTTGTACTTTAGGTCACATTTTAGTTAAAACTTAGGAGATGTATGTTGGTCAATAAGACAACTATCCATCAGATCAAATGTTGTCCATGTAAGCAACTGTAGGACACTATGGCCTTCATCTATGAGCAAAACCCATACCTACATAGCCCTTTCCAGAAACTCATTTCACAAATCATGAATTTTACTCTAAAATTATAATTTGAAGCATGTATTTTCCCTTGTACAACAGTAGAACTGCTTAGAAGCACTGAAGACCAACAAAGAGTCATTGAATCTTGGATTTTAATACATGTTAATTTGTAGATTGTATTTAGTTTATATTAATCTAAAAATTATTCATGGTCTTTGATCTTCTAACATACTTGTGCTCAAACTAGATTATAAAGCTTGAAATATAAAAATAAGGAGATGTGATTGTCACTGAGACAACTATCCACCAAAATTCAAATGAGGTTGATGTAAGCGATTATAAGCATCCCTACAGCCTCCAACAATGACAAAAGCCCATACCGTATAGTCGGCTGTAATAGGCCCTGACATGAAAAATGTGAAACAATTTAATTAAGAAAAATAACAGCCTAATATATAGCAAAAACAATTTATGAAAAATAAAAATGTTTGTTTATTAAAGTTTACACTTAGTTTTCTATCTTACATCGCACAATTGCTTTGCACTGCTGCTAATCAGTATAACAAGAGAAATAAGTCATCCGTTTGTTTGTTCGTCTGTTCCTTCGTCTGTCTGTCTGTCCCTTGTCAGGTTAAAGTTTTTGGTCAAGGTAGTTTTTGATGAAGTTGAAGTCTAATCAACTTGAAACTTAGTACACATGTTCCCTATGATATGATCTTTCTAATTTTAATGCCAAATTAGAGTTTTTACCCCAATTTCACGGTCCACTGAACATAGAAAATGATAGTGCGAGAGGGGCATCCATGTACTATGGACACATTCTTGTTTTTTGCGTTTTGCCTTATGTAATAAAAAATTAAAATAGATAAATAGACACATTAAATCACAAAAATGATCAGCAAGGTCAGATCTAATAACAAGTCAAATTTTGTCGATATAGTTAGTAGACTGTCACTCTCTATAGGAGTGATTTTTCTTAAAGAGGATTTTTTTTATCCTCTTTTGTGTTTTGAGCAAAAACTAAAAAAGATAGAGAGAAGCTAAACAGACTAAATGATCAGCAATACAAGATCAACAAAACAGAGATTTTTGTCACGTATTCTATTCTCATCTACAATGTTGGAGAGTGTCCTTTGTTGAATATGCACATTGACCAAGGTGAGCGACACAGGCTCTTTAGAGCCTCTAGTTGCTGATTATTTTTAAAACTATAAGATAGAAAGAATCTTTATCCCGGAAAAGTGATCAGCAAGACAAGATCTAGAATGAAGTCTAATGGCTGAAATTGTCAGACGACTCCTTATTGGAGTTATTGCTCTTTGATGACAATTTTTATCAATTGTTTGCGTTTTTGCCTTATATCTTAAAAACTATAATAGATAGATAGAAACTGTAAATAGCCAAAATGATCAACATGACAAAATCCACAAATAAGTGAACATGACCAAAATTGTCAGTTGACACCTTATTGAAGTTATTGCCCTTTGATGATGATTTTTCACATTTTTATCTCGCCTGTGACGAAAGTCATGGAAAGCAAGACAAAGTGATTGCTTTTCTGGTAACTGCGATGACGGCATCTCCAATAGTTAAGTTTTCTGCTTAAAGGGGCACTAGCTGTCAAATTCATGTTCACCTATTTGACTCAAATTCTCATAATTGATTTATAACCATATAAAACATTTATCCAAATTATAAAAAGTATAAAATAAACTATTTACAGGGCATTGGCTCGATAATATGTAGCTTCGTTTCGTGTGTATTTTAGTCTTGACGCCATCTAATTAACTATCCAGTTGACCTCCGAATACCTCCGATGGTCATATAAGCGATATAAACATAAATAGAAATATAGATAGAAAGTGAACTCGTGTAATTTGATTTTTCTAGGTCTGTTTAATTTCATATTATAGATTAAAAATATATGTTTATCATCGTTTTTACCTGTATAAGAATGATTTTTTTGTGGATCGAAACAGTAAATCAAATGATTTACCTTTGTTTCACTTTTAATGTTGACATTCTTTTCCTTCAAATAACTTAACACGCACAATGCATGCGTTATCCATCTCCAGCTTAGGGGTTAAATTGAAGTTCACATGAATACAGATTCAATGAGGTCGAATTATTCACTTGCAAGTGAATAATTCATCATCAATGTTTCTTAGCTTAATTTGACAAAATTGAACCATACTGGCTGCTAAAAGCAAATTATTATTTCACTATTTCACTTTCATTAATGATTGAACAAAAACAATCATACTTTAGATTTTTATGCCCCTGCCATAGTGGTGGGGGCATTAAGTTTTACCCTTGTCCTTCTGTACGTACGTCCATTAGATTTCATTTTAGTTCATTTTTGTTGACCCCGCAACATTTATGTCGCAAAAGAGAGACATAGTTATCCTAGATTCCATCATCGGTGTCAGATTCGGCGTATCTAAATTTAGGTTCAGTCTGTGGTTATAGTTTTTAAGTCATCAAGAACTTTGTCAAACCTTCATGGAATTTTATTAAATTTGGACAGAAGCTTGTTTAGGACTAAAAGACGTATCCAGAGTGAAATTTTGAAAATAATTATTTTGATTTTCCTGTATTTTTTATTTTACTTATAAAAAGTAAAATGGACTTAGTTTTTTTTTAAAGTTAACAAGTAGATACAGTCTGAGATTTTAAGTTTTTTACACATCAATACCTTTGTCAAATTGTCATAGAATTTTATGAATAACTTTGGAATAAGCTTTTTTATGATTAAGAGATAATGTCTGAAGCAATCTTTTGAATTATTTTTTTTTCATTTCCAGTATTTTTCTGATAGATTGACTAATATAAAAATAATGAGATGAGGAATGATTGCCAATGAGACAACTATCCACCAAAATTCAAATAAAATGGATGTAAGCAATTAAAGGCAACTGTACGGCCTTCAACAATGAGAAAAACCCATACTGTATAGTCTGCGATATAAAAGACCCTGACATGAAAAATATGAAGCAATTCAATTGAGAAAACTAACAGCCTAATTTATAATAAAACAATTTAAGAAAAACAAATATGACTAACATGAACCAACGACAACCTCTGAACTACAGGCTCCTGACTTAGGACAGGCCCAAAAAGAATGTGGCTGGGTTAAACATGTTTGTGAGCACTCAACCCCCCCCCCCTAACCAGGGACAGTGGTGTAACAGCACAACAAAAGAACAATCTATAAAAATCAGTTGTTAAAAGCTTAACTCATCAGATGGATTCAAAGCAGAAAAACATCAAACATAAACACAGACCAGACGTGGCAGGGTATTTATCCATCCCTCATCCTAACAACAAAAAGGACACTTAAGTACAGATCTGAGAGTACTTGCAGTTACTGACAGCTAGTTCAAAGCCAATAACAACTAATAAAAAAAACGATGTATCTAAGACTAAAATATCAATCAGTACACATCCAACATCCAATGGATTTAGTGTAAAGACGTCATTAACAGTCAGAGAAAAACATGACCTTGTGCAATGCCAAAATGAAGGTATCAACAGATTGTAGTACCATTAAAGTGCATATAACAAAACTATTTAGTATGATTTTCAATATTTATACCAATAAAAACAGTATTCAAAGATCTAATTATGGTGTTGAATTGGTAACCTTTTAGAATAAGTTTATTTAAAGGATTGATAAGTTTACCTGGATCGTATATAAATTTCCGGGCTCAGTAAAGAAATAAGTTTTTTACAGTTAACATTTACAAACAGTCTGGGATTGAAGTTTTTTGATATATTTGTAAACCTTTAAGGATTGTTCTGAAACTTGGACAGAAGCTAATCTTCATAACCAAGAAAAAGCATCTAAAGAAAAATCTTGATTTTTTTTTTAAATTCTGTATTTTAACTGATAATTGGACTGACTTTTTGTCCCCAGCGTAACGTATTTTTATAAAACTTATACTATAGGTTAATATTAGCAATATCTCAGACAAGTTCTATAATGGTGGACGATCAACTTTTTATACGACCGCAAAAAATTTTGCGGTGGTTTATTGGTATCACTTCGTCGTCCTAAGACATTTGGTTTACGGACAATAACTTTAGTAAATGTAAATAGAAATCTATGAAATTTAAACACAAGGTTAATAACCATTAAAGGAAGGTTGGATTGATTTTGGGGATTATAGTCCTAACAGTTTAGGAATTAGGGGCCCAAATAAGCATTTTTCTAGTTTCCAGACAATGACTTGTTGAACGGTGTATGAATCTCTCTGAAATTATACCACAAGTTTCCATACCACAAAGGGATGGTTAGGATTTGCTTTGGGGGTTATTAGGGCATCCTGGTCCATTAAGAAATATCAGGTGTGCCCATTTGCACTTTTGATATTATTCAGTATGCCCTTTCTAGATGCAACTGCTCCTACATGCTTCATCAGACATACATAAAACTTTGTACAAAGTTAGACTGACATCAAAAGGAGGCAGTGGGGACGGAGGACTCTTCAGACAGCCCCCTTAAAATAAAAACGCTAAACAACAACAAAGAAAAAAAAGATAAAGAAAAAAAACCTTTCTACCACTAGACATATTCCTGAATTGATAATGTAAAACAAACTGTTATAATTTTTTTTTGCAGGCCATTATGTGTATATGCATTCATCAGGCGAAACATTTCTTGAATTGACAGTGTTGGAGAGCCCTATATTTGATGCTCCTAATGAGAATCCAGGTCAAAATTGTCAGGTATTTGAACAAATCTTATTAGGTTGCCAGTGGAAGGATGTGTTAATATACATTATTTGCCATCTTTCACAATGTAGGCGTGAACTACATGATTTTAACCCCTTATCTTATACCTTATGCACAATTTTGATTGTAAAAAACACTCAAAAACATGATTTTGTGAAATACTACATGGAAAAAGTGTTGGTTCACCATTTTGAACTGTTTCCCCTTATTAAGGGGCATTTCAAATATGCAAAAATTTGTTTTGTACTTTTGAGTTATATTCCTTTTGGTATGTCAGATTTGTAAAAATCGTGATGGTAGACAAATTTTCATCTGCAAGAAGGTTCTCACACAGCTTTAGAAAAGCGTAGGTGATTAACAAATTCAACAGGTATATAGGTACATGTATATCACATGACTTCTGCAAAGTCTGCAACACAGACTGATAGATATAAGATCGTGATGTTGTTTACCGAGCCCGGAAATTTATATACGATCCAGGTAAACTTATCAATCCTTTAAATAAACTTATTTTAAAAGGTTACCAATTCAACACTGTAATTAGATCTGAATATTGTTTTTATTGGTATAAATATTGATTTTTGTCTCCCCTTGACGGAGTCAAAAAGTGAGACATAGGTATGCTGTTTCCGGCGGCGACAGGGGGGGCGGCGTCAACAATGTATTAGTTTGTGATTAGGTCTAGTTTATGGTGAACCACTAGTGGTAGGTCAATGATATTTGGTATGCAGTTGTATTAGCATTGGCACATCTCATTACCATGGAGATTATTTGGCCCCGCCCCCTCAGTCAAGGTCTATTGACTTTGAAACTTTTCATAGATTACATGTATTAGTTTGTGATTAGGTCAATTTATGGGGAACCACTAGTGGTAGGTCAATGAAATTTGGTATGCAATTGTATAAGCATTGGCATATCTCATTTCCATGGAGATTATTTGGCTCCACCCGCTTAGTCATGGTCTATTGACTTTGAAACTTTTCATAGTTTACATGTATTAGTTTGTGATTAGGTCAATTTATGGGGAACCACTAGTGGTAGGTCAATGATATTTGGTATGCAATTGTATAAGCATTGGCATATCTCATTTCCATGGAGATTATTTGGCTCTGCCCCCTCAGTCATGGTCTATAGACTTTGAAAATTTTGCTAAGTTAACATGTATTAGTTTGTGATTAGGGCAGTTCAAGGGGAACCATTAGTGGTAGGCCAATGTTAATTGGTGGTCAGCTGTATAAGCATTAGCACATCTCATTTCCATGGAAAATATTTGGCCCTGCCCACTCAGTCATGGTCTATTTACTTTGAAACTTTTGCTTAGTTTACATGTTTTAGTTTGTGATTAGATCAGTTTAAGATGAACTGCTAATGTTAAGTCAATGATATTTGGTATGCAAATTTATTGGCATTTGCAAGTATTGTTTCCATGGAGATTATATAGCCCCACCCCTGATCATGGTTCATTGACTTTGAAACTTTTACATAGTTTACAAGTTAATGTTTGTGTTTAGGTTTGTTTAAAGGGAATGACTTATAAAAAGTCAATGGTATTTGGTATGCAGTTGTATTAGCATTGGCACATCTCATTTCATGGAGATTGTTTAGCCATGTACCTTCAGTCATGGTTCATCGACTTTGAATATTTGCATAACTTACATGTTAAAGTATTGCTATTTTAATTATCAAAATTACAAAAAGGCGAGACATATCTCTGTGATAACAGTTTATGTTATCAGTAAATTAAAATCATACTAATATTTTTGTTATACACTTATGCATTTTAACGGTACTACAATCTGTTGATCATTTGGCATTTTGGCATTGCACAAGGTCATGTTTTTCTCTGACTGTTAATGACATCTTTACACTGTTATGCTGCTACACCATGGTCAAAGGTTAGGGGGAGGGTTTAGTGCTCACAAACATGTACATCAACTTTATTTGAACTTTGGTGGATAGTTGTCTCCTTGGGAATCATACCCCAATCCTTATTTTTATATTCACCACGGTGGTCTGAATGACGTTTCAAAGCATACAAGGTCTTTTAACTTCATCAGAAGAACCCTTCATAACTTAGAACACTACCAAGATTGTTAATAACTATTTTGTACTACCAGATGATGAACAACTCAAGATTCATTCTATTAAATATGAATCAACTTTAATACAATTCTTTGATGCAATTTGAGTTGCAGTGCTACCTTAAATATATGTAATAGTTGCTTACGGGCATTACACTTGTTGTAACAGTTCGTTCTTGTTATCAAATTATCAAACCATTTAAAGAACAGTATTTAATTTTTCACAAGGAATCAAATAAATGTCCTTCTTTGTTCATATTTATAAATTGGAAAAGTCAACAGTCACTTATGGATGGAAGGTTTTAAGTACTGGTGTAGAGTCGCGCGTTTGACGTCACACAGGTAGATATAAAATAATTTTGTCGTTCAAAGTATGACAGGATGCATAAGCACTGAACCACGTCAAATGGATATCACAAAAAAAACAGACTTAACAGTAATAAAAAGTAAAATCACAAAAATACTGAACTCCAAGGAAAATTCAAAAAGGAAAGTCCCTAATCAAATGGCAAAATCAAAAGCTCAAACACATCAAACGAATGGATAACAACTGTCATATTCCTGACTTGGCACAGGCATCCTCCTATGTAGAAAACACCTGTGCGGTTGGGAGGTTTGGCTGGCTGTGGGGCCGTGTTCAATCCACCGTTTTCTACATGGGAGGATGCCTGTGCCAAGTCAGGAATATGACAGTTGTTATCCATTCGTTTGATGTGTTTGAGCTTTTGATTTTGCCATTTGATTAGGGACTCTCCTAAAAAAACCTTTTCTTCTTTTTATTTGCATAATTCTTGTACTTATTTCATTGTGTAAATATGATAGTACATGTATCTAGAAAACCAGGAAAATCTTTTCTTATTAGCTCTCTTTTGCCATCACTTTTCATTGTCGTTCATAGTCCATCCGTTGTTGTAAACTTTTTAAAAAGAAATTTTCTCTGAAACCACTGGGCCCAATGATACCTAACTTTACCTGAATGTTCCTTAGGGTATCTAGTTTATAAAAGTTTGTGATTAGGTCAATTTATGGGGAACCACTAGTGGTAGGTCAATGATATTTGGTATGCAATTGTATAAGCATTGGCATATCTCATTTCCATGGAGATTATTTGGCTCTGCCCCCTCAGTCATGGTCTATAGACTTTGAAAATTTTGCTAAGTTAACATGTATTAGTTTGTGATTAGGGCAGTTCAAGGGGAACCATTAGTGGTAGGCCAATGTTAATTGGTGGTCAGCTGTATAAGCATTAGCACATCTCATTTCCATGGAAAATATTTGGCCCCGCCCACTCAGTCATGGTCTATTTACTTTGAAACTTTTGCTTAGTTTACATGTTTTAGTTTGTGATTAGATCAGTTTAAGATGAACTGCTAATGTTAAGTCAATGATATTTGGTATGCAAATTTATTGGCATTTGCAAGTATTGTTTCCATCAAACGAATGGATAACAACTGTCATATTCCTGACTTGGCACAGGCATCCTCCTATGTAGAAAACACCTGTGCGGTTGGGAGGTTTGGCTGGCTGTGGGGCCGTGTTCAATCCACCGTTTTCTACATGGGAGGATGCCTGTGCCAAGTCAGGAATATGACAGTTGTTATCCATTCGTTTGATGTGTTTGAGCTTTTGATTTTGCCATTTGATTAGGGACTCTCCTAAAAAACCTTTTCTTCTTTTTATTTGCATAATTCTTGTACTTATTTCATTGTGTCTGGGGATTCAATCCATCACTTTGAAAATAGGGCTAACATTCAGTTTTTATGTGCCTGTTCATGAGACGTATTATTGTTTACCGTCTGTCCGTCCGTCGTCAACATGTCGGACAATTATATCTCAAAAACACTTTAACCAATTTGCATGAAACTTACGTGAATTGTTTATATCTATTGACGAGAGTTCCCATTCGATTTTTATAAATTGTAGATTTTACATTTCTGAGTAGTGGGATTTTATTCATTAAAAAAGGGGGATTTTCCAGTTTTAGGATAATACTGTGGATTCATTATTATTCGTTGGATACCAATTTTCGTGGGTTTCGTGGGTACAGGGGAACCACGAATTCAGATGTTTAACGAATTACAAATGTTAATTTGGCTTTGTATGCAGAGATTGGCAAAACCACGAAATCAAATATCCACGAAAATGCAAGTGTTCCTCAATCCACGAAAATTGATACCCACGAAAACAAATGAATCCACAGTATCTAAAAAATGCTTTGAGCAGTTTTCATGAAACTTTGATGAATGTTTATATCAATTGACGTAAGCTCCCTTTCAATTTTTATTAATTTTATATTTTACGTTTCCTAGTTATGAGATATTATTCATAAAAAAGGGGGGATTTTCTGGATATCGGACAATAACTCTAAAGTGCTTTGAGCAGTTTTCATGAAACTTTGGTGACTGGTTTATATCTATTAAAATAACCTCCCTTTAGTTTTTTTTTTATAAATTTCTGATATGACATTGAGGAGTTTTGAAACTGTATTCTTTGAAAAAGTGACAGGCATATCACAGCTCTTTATTTACTTATATCTCAATTACTAAAGCAAATATTGCAAATCTGACTGGGCTAAAATGATCAACTAATCAAGGCCTATCTCCTGCCAAATTTTTAGAAAAATTGGACAACCTATTTTAGAGTTAATTACCCCTGGCCAGAACAATTAAGATCTCTAAGGACTAGGAGGAAAAACTGTCAACAATTATTTGATTTAAAGGTCAAGGTCACTGTAGCAATATTCATTTATAATTAGTAAAGTAGTCAAGACATTTTGGCATGTGCATATATTTATGAAAATTTGTATATTATTCACAAAGTTTAGATTGAAAGTTATTGAACGGATTTAAATGAAAGCTTGCCTGGCTCAATGGGTCCCATACTGTTTAGACAGACTGAATAATTTTATTGCTATTGCATATCTTTAAATACTATGGTTAAAACAAATTCACGGTCCATACTAAAATATGACAGATTATAATGATTGTTTTGCAGGTACGCTTCCATTACTATATGTTTGGGGGATATGTCAGCAAGTTAGTTTTAAAACTTGTACCATTGAACAATGATGATTTAAAGCCATGCGAGGAGAAGAATCGTGTTATACTATTTGACAAGTTCAAAGATCAAGGACCCAAATGGCTGTTTGCAGCAGTGGATATAAAAAATGTTACAAAAAGGTAGGAAACTCCATCAGTATTTAAAAAGAAGAAAAAAGACTCAGAAAGAATTTTGAGTTACCTTTCTTTGATTTTGATTATCAGAAAGATTGATAAGAAAATTAAGTTGGTAAATGGATGTGTAGATGACTTTATTGTATTTCAAAAATTGTCAGAAAAACACTGTTATCCTAGTTTTAATATAGAACTGGAATAGGGAATAATTGAGGGCTGTGTACAATTCAACAGAATAAAACCTATCTTAATTCACAAAATAAATTGAAGAGAACATTGTATGGTCTTATGTGTATACAGGGAATCTGTTGGTTAATTTTACGGATAAGCCCAAAAATATAAAATGCTTATATCAATAAATCAAAGTAAATATAAACTGATAAACACACCAGTAATAAATGTCTTGATAGAAGTTAATGGTAGTTTTCAGATCATTTAAGCTCACATGTTTAAAAAAAAACCATGAAAGCTCAGTAATACTTAATATCCATTGTTTGTTGTAACCTCTTTTGAACTGGGATAGTGTTTTTTTCGATAAGTATATGTCTAAAATGCCTGAAAGGGAAAGGGTTAAGTCTGTTTTTATTTGACCGCAAAAATATTGCTATGACGTTGGCGTCGTCGTCGTCAGAAGACACATTGAATTTCGCACTATAACTTTAGTTTAAGTGAATTGATCTCTATGAAATTTAACCATAAGGTTCAATACCACAAAAGGAAGGTTGGGATTAATTTTGGGGGTTATGGTACTAACAGTTAAGGAATTAGGTACCAAAAAGGGGCCAAAAATAAGCATTTTTCTAGTTTCCAGACAATAACTTGTGGAATATCCAAATACAAAATTTTGATTACCTCCCTTACACTGCTTTTAAATTATGTTTAAAGAAATGCATATTTATAAAGGAAGACCAATAAAAATATCTGCAAATATTGCATCTTTTTTCTTTCACAAAAAAATCCATATGAAAGATTTGACACCATATTTTAAATTCTATTATAAAATAGATTAAGTTAGCACTATGGTAAATTTAAATGGGTAATTATGGTTGCAAACTCCATTGGAAATTTTAATTGAGATTATGACCATATCTTGAGGGAAAGAATTTTTTTGGGGGGAAAAGGGGGGGGGGAGGTAAAAAGAAATTGTGGGGGGTCAATTTTTTCTCATTTCAGATTTCAGAAATTATAAAGAAAAATTCTTCAAATATTTGAGGGGGGGGGGGGGGGGGTGGGTTAATACGCAACAGCATAGTGTATTGCACAAAAGCAAAAAAAAAAGGGGGGGGGGGGTAATTTTTATTTTTTTTTTTTTGTGGGGAGAGGGGGGGGGGGTCAATTCGCAACAGCAAAGTGTATTGCACAAAAGCAAAAAATTTAATATAAATTCAAATCATATAACCAATTCTAAGTTCTTTGACTACAGTTATTCTGTGTCAGAAACCTATTATGTGTCAAATATTTAATTACAATCCAAATTCAGACCTGTATCAAGCACGGATATTGCATCCATTTTTGCCCCAACTGTTCACGGTTGGACCTCTGCGGTCGTATCCAGCTGTGCTCGGCGAAGCAATTTGTTTAGATATCATAAGCAGTAAGTAAACTATATTTGGTGCATGGAATGATTGTTTGAGGTTTATACATATCTGTCAGGCAGAATTAATCTGACCTTGACCTCATAGTCATGTATCATTAAAACCTTTTATCTTAAGACATTCAACATAAAATTGATCATGAACAGTATAGCAGGTGAGACATTTGGATGTGTGCACTCTTGTTTTTTACTTTAAGCACATGTCATCTCACATGATTACGAAGTAAAGATAAGGAATCCCAAATTTTTATTGGTCAAAGGTCAATTTATTTAAAAGATGAATTGAAAAAAAAGAAAGAAAAAAAAAGAACAAATTGAGATTTGCATGCAGTCGTGGTCATTTGTAGATGCAATTTGAAGAAATAATGTAGCAACCATAAGGTAAGAGCTTCCGAATCAGAAAACAACAACTTTGACAGTGAGATATTGGAATAAATACCCCCTAAATTGATTTGCAAATAAGGTCAAGGAAAACATTTTTATGCCCCACCTAGGGGCATTATGTTTTTCGGTCTGTGAGTCTGTTTGTTTGTTCGTTCGTCCGTCCGTTCCTTCGTCCATCTGTCCCGCTTCAGGTTAAAGTTTTTGGTCAAGGTAGTTTTTGATGAAGTTGAAGTCCAATCAACTTGAAACTTAGTACACATGTTCCCTATGATATGATCTTTCTAATTTTAACGCCAAATTAGAGTTTTGACCCCAATTTCACGGTCCACTGAACATAGAAAATGATAGTGCGAGTGGGGCATCCTTGTACTATGAACACATTCTTGTTTAGCTTTTCACTTGTGAAGACTCGTGTTGAAACAAAAAACATTGAAATATATTTGCTTGATGAGCAATTCAGGTTCCTAGATATTTAGTATGTAGAAGCATAAGCATTGGCAAATCTTGTTCCCATGGAAATTATTTGGCTCCACCCCCCTCAGTCATGGTCTGTTGACCTTGATTGTTTCATAGTTTACTTGTTTAGTTTGTGATTAGACCAGTTTAAGAGGGGCTGCTAATGTTAAGTCAATGATATTTGGTATGCAATTGTATTAGCATTTGCAGGTCTCTTTTCCATGGTGATTATATGGCCCCACTCCCTCAACATGGGTCATTGACTTTAAACTTTTACATTGTTTACAAATTAAAGTTGTGTTTATGTTATTGTCTCCCAGAGACATAGGTATGCTGTTTCCAGCTTTGGTGTTGGCGGCAGCGTTGTCAACAATGTAATGTGTGATTAGGTCAGTTTTATGGTGAACCACTTGTGGTAGGTCAATGATATTTGGTATACAGTTGTATTAGTATTGGCACATCACATTTCCATGGGGATTATTTGGCCCCACCCTCTCAGTCATGGTCTATTGACTTTGAAACTTTTGCTTTGTGTACCTGTATTAGTTTGTGATTAGGTCAGTTTATGGGGAACCACTAGTGGTAGGTTAATGATATTTAGTATGCAGTTGTATAAGCATTGGCATATCTCATTTCCATTGAAATTATTGGGCCCTGCCCTCTCAGTCATAGTCTATTGACTTTGAAAGTTTTGCTTAGTTTAAATGTATTAGTTTGTGATTAGGTCAGTTTAAAGGGAACCATTAGTGGTAAGTCAATGATATTTGGTATGCAGTTGTACAAACATTAGCACATCTCATTTTCATGGAGAATATTTGGCACCGCCCCTTCAGACATGGTCTATTTACTTTAAATGTTTTGCATATAGTTTACATGTTAAAGTTTGTGATTAGATTAGTTTAAGATGAACCACTAATATTAAGTCAGTGATATATGATTTGCAAGTCTCATTTCCATGGAAATTATATGGCCCCACCTCCTCATCATGGTTCATTGACTTTGAAATTTTTACATAATTTACAAGTTAATGTTTGAGTTTAGGTTTATTTAAATGGAACAACTTATGATAAGTCAATGGTATTTGGTATGCAGTTGTATTAGCATTGGCACATCTCATTTCCATGGAGATTGTGTAGCCATGTACCTTCAGTCATAGTTTATTGACTTTGAACATTTGCATAACTTACATGTTAAAGTATTGCTATTTTAATTTCAACTTTTGCATTATCAAAATTACAAAAAGGCGAGACATATCTCTGTGTTAACAGTTTATTAAATAGATTCACAGTGTCACAGCTTTATGTGTTTATTTTTAGATTTTAACAACATAATTGTGTATTTCTGAATGAAACTAAATTTTAAATTTGCAGTTAAGGAAGATTTTTGCAATGTTTGAGTAATTAACAATAAGAACTTTCTTAACTAAATCAACATTTCATTAGTAGTAAGTTCTTATTTACTGTTTACTGACTGAAGTCAAAGGAAAAAGCCAGAAGAATTGAGAGATATCTGTATTGTATTTGAAGCTTTGCAGACCTCCAACGGTAGTTTTTACTGTCGCAAATTTATTTTACCTGGCAACGCGTAGCAGAGACAGGTAAACTAAATTTGCGACAGTAAAACTACTGATGGATGTCCACAAAGCTTCACATACAATACAGTTATCTCTATTCTAATGCAAAATAAACAAATCATTCAATTTTAGTCATTATTCTAGTGTAAATTTTCATTAAACGAAATGATGTTATCTTCTTTGGAGCCTAAAGTAGGTGAAGTCATAGGTATGCTTCCGGCATCAAACGTAAACATCAGGCGTTTTCTGGCTTCTTGTCCGCTTCCGAATGCTATAAAATTTGATATAAAGAAGATTTTTAGGTGCAAAATGTGAGTTTTTTGGCTTATTATTGGAGAAATTACATGTCAATACATTCGGGAATTCAAAATGTAGGCTTTCTTAGTTACAGACAGGCAGATAGAGAATTTTACACTTATTGTCATCCAATCAGAACCATTGATACAAAATAATTGCATTAGAATATAGTTTATCTTGATTTTCCTCCCTCAACGTGTTGCAGATGACATATATATACCAGGAGTCAGTCCGTCTTTTCTTGTATGTGCTCTTATATTTATGATTCTTGCCAGATTTTATATGAAATTTATATCAAAGATTTATATCAGCAATATCTCGGTCTGGTTCAAAAGCCAGTTCCAAACAACTATATTTTAAGGAGTTATGCTCCTTGGAAATATAAATTATATGGAAAATTGCATTGTAAGTGCTCTGTATAATTCTTGCCAGATATTTGTGAAATTTATATCAAAGGTTGAGATCAGCAATATCTCATACCAATTCAAAAATCAGCTCTTATCAATTATTTTTACAGAACATGTGTCCCTTGGAATTATAAAGTATATAGAAAATTGCATTGTTAAGTACCTCACACCAACATATTGTCATGGATTTTTTTATCATTGGTTTATACAAGCCATGTCTTCGGTGAATGAGAAAATCAGCATTTCTATTAGTTTTACAGGAGTAATGTCTCTTTGAAATGTAATTTATATTGAACATTGCATTGTAAGCACTCTCACATCTACATTTCTTGTCCAATTTTTATGGTCTTTAAATGAAAGGAGGATATCACAAAGATAAATGAAGAGTGTCGACAAACTATTTGTACAGGAGTAATGGCACTTGGAAGTAGATATATATTGGAAGAAACATTGTTAGCAATTTAGTAATTGCCCTTGGGCAGATAAAATATGTGCTATGCAGAGCCTTTTTATTTAGTTATTGCCCTTGGGCAGATAAAATATGTGCTATGCAGAGCCTTTTTATTTAGTTATTGCCATTGGGCAGATAAAATATGTGCTATGCAGAGCCTTTTTATTTAGTTATTGCCCTTGGGCAGATAAAATATGTGCTATGCAGAGCCTTTTTATTTAGTTATTGCCATTGGGCAGATAAAATAAAAATTATTTGTAAATAATTTCACTAAAATGAAATGGGTTCATATTCACCACAATTTTGATGCTGACAAACCTGTTCAAACAGTCAGTTTATTACTGTTCTTACCATGTGCCAAATATGTTCATGGCTTTAATAATGCATTACAGCTTTTATTTGCTGTCCAAAACATAGGTGAACTATGATAATTAAACACAAAATTACTTAGATGATGGTAAGTAGACAATTTACCAATATATTTTTCTCAGTATTATGACATTTTTAGGCTTCCAGCATCTTTATAACAGTGAATCATATTTGATTTTAATTGATTTCTGACGCATTTGTAGATTTTTACATATTTGAAAAAAAATCTTGTGTGTCAAAATCAATTTAAAAATTGTAATTGGAAATAAGAGTACAAATTTTTTTTCTTGTTAAAATTGAAGTGTCTTTATGAAATGTTTGTTTGAATCAGTTTTATGGCTATGGTTATTATAAGAAGTGTAGGATGGAATGCATATGATATATTAGCACTCAGCAAGTCACATATTTTAATAGATATAAGAAGATGTGGTATGAGTGCCAATGAGACAACTCTCCATCCAAGTCACAATTTGTAAAAGTAAACCATTACAGGTCAAAGTACGGCCTTCAACACAGAGCCTTGGCTCACACCGAACAGCAAGCTATAAAGGGCCCCAAAAATGACTAGTGTAAAACAATTCAAACAGGAAAACCAACGGTCTAATCTATATAAAAAATGAGAAGCACTTATGAACCACATCAACAAACAACAACCACTGAACATCAGGTTCCTGACTTAGGACAGGTGCAAACAAATGCAGCGTTTTTTTTGTTTTAACGTGACTAATATAATTATTTTATTACACACTATTGCTGTTAACAATTTACTTAGTGTACAGCATTGCACTAAGTATCCCTGATATATTAGTTATAAGGTATCCAGGGAGAATATCTAACAAGAGTAAATTGATATTACAATACAATATTACAATATTTTGAATAATTTCATGTTTACCGGAGTATTCCATTTCTATCAGTGAGTTTTAACGTTTTAATAGGCGCCAACCTTCACCCTACCTGAAACAATAAGTTTGCTTTCATTTCCTGTAAATTTTCTGTTTATAAAATGTAAAAATGATTCAAATTACTGCTTGGCATTTATGGCCTAAGCCAGACTTATGATGTTTAATGCTCTTCAAGTTTGTAACCTTTTAGGTCTTGTAACTGTTCTGATTTTGAGTGTTACTTAAGAGCCGGGGTGAACTGAACAAGTGTCTATCTGTCTGTCCATCCCCCCCAATTCATACAGGATGTTGACATTTTAACAAAAAAACTAATACTGTTAGTGGACATTTTAGCGCAGACATTATATATAGCCAATTTTTGTGCACGAATCCCTTCACCTGGATTTTCAGTAGATTATTTTAGCAAAAACTTACCTGGTTGATAGAACTCACCATACTAAAACCATGAACAGTAATTTATGGTGGCATAATCTTTAAGTTGTTTGCATTTACAATTTGCTTAATCATGGAAATAAATGTTGTTGAAACAATCAAAGGAGATAAAAGTGCAAAATGTGGCATATGTCACCAAGCCATTTATGTTTTGTGGATACTATAATCAAATTACAAACAACAACATATATTAGAATCAGAAGTATGGATGAATCTGCACCCTAATCTAGACAAGATAAAGAGAAGGAACAGATCCTAATGTAGACAAGATACATAGAAGGAACAGATCCTATCACAATTTGGTAAACAGGGGGTATATCATGAAATCATTTTGTATGTTCACTCGGACATTTAATTTAAAATTAAATATTTGAGTTTAGTGCTGTATTTTTATGGACATGATATTTTGCATATTGTGCTGTCTCAATACTTTTAAAATTTTATTATTCTACTATGAATGAAATTCTGTCGCTAAAAAGGGCATTGACCATTTCACTTTTTTGCTAATGGGTAAAAAATATGGCGCTAAAATGGGCTATATATACTTCGGCGCTAAAACGTCGACTTTTTTCGCTAAATGTCCTCCACTGCTTGATACAATACCTCAAATTTGCTTTAACCAATTCCATGAAAATTTAACACATTAGGATTAACAGATGAAAGCTCATTATAAATAAATCTTCAAATAACAAAATAATTGGTAGAATATATTCAACAAGATACAGTGAAATATAATAAAGTATTACACAGTCCATAATATAACTCCAAATTAGTCAACACATCTAGTTTATGTAAGTTATTTACTGTTTCTATACAATTATTACACCCCCGCTTTAAAAAAGTGGGGGTATACTGTTTTACCTCTGTCTGTCCATCCATCCGTCAGTCCATCCATCCGTCCGCCAGTCCGTCCGTCCGTCTCATGAATATTTTTTCAACGCATCTTTCTCAGGAACTACATTACAAGAATTTCTGAAATTTGGTTTCAGGGTTTATATAAGTCACCTATACCATGTGATGCGTTTTCATCACTCGACAACTTCTTGTTTACCGAACACTTGTATCATTTTACACATGATAGCCAAGTTGAAAATTTTCATCACATTTTTCTCAGGAACTACAATACACGGATTTCTGAAATTTGGTTTCAGAGTTTATATAAGTCAGCTATTGTAGGATTTAAAAATGTCCCCCATGAAATAATGTCCACCGGACATTATTTCACAGTAAATACTGTCCATGGACAATATTTACTTATTTAAATGTGTCCCAGACACTATTTCCTATGAAAATATGTCCTCAGGTATGAAAAAGTGTCCATGAACAAGGACATTATTTAATACTATAATTCTGTCCAGGTGGAAATTTTTTCACAGGACATTTTTTGATATGATTAAAGTATTTATAAAAATGATATCCATTGCCTTGTTATTACTGGGCGTATTTTAACCTATAATTGCGAACTTTAATACATTGTTACTTGACAGAGAGTTGTCTCATTGGCACTCGTACCATCCTTATCTTCCTATTCATATTTTTTAATATATATATACATGTATAATGATTTAAATTCCAACAAGTAACAGATGTTGTTCAGTATTATTTTCCTTGGAGGACACAATTTAATAACAATTACTACGAAAAATTGTCCTATAGGTGGACCATATCTCATAACTGTTGCTGTAAAATGCTGTTCACTTAGGGGACAATATTTCATGGCAATGGACATTATTTAATACCAAAATTCTATATTTTCTTTTGCCTGTTCATAATAAATATAGTATAGTTCTTCACATTTGATTTTATACTTTACACACTTCCTTCTTATTGTTCTTCTTTCATTGTCATTAGCATTAACTGGGTATTTCTTAGAACTTAAATGTCTCTATATTCACTTCCATCCATTATTTGTTTGTTTACATTTGTATATTAATCAATTTCTAATCAATCGTTCAGATTTTATTAAAATTCAAGTATAATAAAACTTTTTAATGACCTTTGTATTACTTCCCTTGGAGGACACAATTTAATAGCAACTACTATGAAAACTTGTCCTTGGGTGGACACTATTTCATAACTTTTGCAGTAAAAATCTGTCCATTTGAGGGACAGTATTTCATGGCAGTGGACATTATTTAATACCAAAATTCTATGAAAAACTGTCCAGGTGGACACTTTTTCACAGGACACTATTATGTCTTACACCATACCATGTGATGCGTTTTCAGATTCATCACTCAACAATTTCCTGTTTACCGTCAAGTATTTGGCCGGGGTATCACCAGTGAGCAGTAGCTCGCAGTTTCACTTGTTCAGACTAACTTGACAACATCATTCTTGTTGATGTGATCTTATTAGTGGACAAGCAACATGTTGACATTTCTGGGTATTTATATAAGTCATTTATACTGATAATTTATAAAGGTTAATTACTGTTCCCATACAATAGATCAGAGTGACTCTATGTTATCACCTTAAATGCTTTGTAAGCTTTATGTTAGCATAAGAAATGATACCAACAAAATGGTTGTACTAACAATTAACATAATTTTATACAATTTATCATTTCAGACAATTTGGGCATCAAATATCATGCAAATAATCATATCTTAAAGGAATAATCATTTATAATAAAAAAAAAAAACATTTGACTTTATGTGAATTTTTGAATATGATAAATGAAGTTAAATTTGTCACATTTCTCAAGTACTATTGGACAGAATTGCTTTACATTTGGTCAGCAGCTTGGCAGTGATGAGTTTCATTGCATGAAACATTTTCAAATACATTGAATAACAAGTGGGGGTATGCTTAGCACGACAAGGTTTATTCTTGTTTTGTTAGTTTTTGCATTTTTTACCTTGTTTTTAAATTCAAAGGGCCAAAAAAGTGGTCTTATTATTTCTTCTTTTTTTAAACATAGTAATACATATTTTGTTTGTTTCAGATTTAAACTTCATTTTATTGGAAACATAGGGTACAACAAACAAAGTGATATAGCTCTGGATGATGTCTCACTTAGCCCTTCATGTTTTGGTAAGTCAGCTGATATAGCTCTGAGTCTAATCTCTCTCAGCCCTTAGTGTTTTGGTAAGTCAGATGATTTAGCTCTGGATGACATCTCACTTAGCCTTTTGTGTTTTGGTAAGTCAGCTGATTTAGCTGTGGATTACATCTCACTTAGCCTTTCATGTTTTGGTTAGTCAGATAATATAGCTCTGGAGGACATCTCACTTAGCCCTTCATGTTTTGGTAAGTCAGCTGATATAGCTCTGGATGAAATCTCTCTCAGCCCTTAGTGTTTTGGTAAGTCAGATGATTTAGCTCTGGATGAAATCTCTCTCAGCCCTTAGTGTTTTGGTAAGTCAGATGATTTAGCTCTGGATGTAATCTCTCTCAGCCCTTTGTGTTTTGGTAAGTCAGCTGATTTAGCTGTGGATTACATCTCACTTAGCCTTTCATGTTTTGGTTAGTCAGATAATATAGCTCTGGATGACATCTCACTTAGCCCTTCATGTTTTGGTAAGTCAGCTGATATAGCTCTGGATGAAATCTCTCTCAGCCCTTAGTGTTTTGGTAAGTCAGATGATTTAGCTCTGGATGAAATCTCTCTCAGCCCTTAGTGTTTTTGTAAGTCAGATGATTTAGCTCTTGATGTAATCTCTCTCAGCCCTTAGTGTTTTGGTAAGTCAGCTGATTTAGCTCTGGATGACATCTCACTTAGCCTTTCATGTTTTGGTTAGTCAGATAATATAGCTCTGGATGACATCTCTCTTAGCCCTTCATGTTTTGGTTAGTCGGATAATATAGCTATGGATGACATCTCGCTTAACACTTCATGTTTTGGTAAGTTAGTTGATTTAGCTCTGAATGGCATCCCACTTAGCCTTTCATGTTTTGGTAAGTAAGATAATATAACTCTGGATGACATCTCACTTAACACTTCATGGTTTGGTAAGTACATCCTTGTTTTAGTTATTGATGAATTAAAGGAGATGTGGTGGAAAGGTTGAACAGCAACCCAACAATACAAAAATATAAAATACATTTAGAGGTCTACATGTCTAACAATAGACAAATTTGTCAAGCTCAACTGGCCTATTCAACAAAGCTTTGCTGATCATCTGGTCAAGATATGTGACCTACTTCACTGAACCTCAATGGTCATCAAGTTAAGGTCAACATAAGGCTTGTCTAGTTCACTGAGCCTCCATGATCAGAGAGTGGAGGTCATTGATCATAATTTATATGAACAGAACATTGGATTACTTGACAAAGCTTTGCTAGCAATCATGTCAAGATATCTGACCTTTAACATCTAGCCTCATGGTCCGAGAGAGAAGGTCAGGAACCAATCATTTACATGAATAGGGGCTGTACTATTCAACAAAGTTTTGCTAATCATGTGGTCAAGTTTTCTGACCTATTACACTAAATCCTCCATGGTCAGCTAATAAAGGAAGCCTTGTTTCTTGACATATAGAAATACTGGTAGGTGACCAGAATTACGTTACTAGGCTTTTGACATTTTTGAAAAACTACTTGTGCCCAATACTATGCAGAATTTATTAGTGCTGCATATGAAAATGTTTTGTATTTAAATTTACTTTTTATACCCCACACTACAAAGTATATAGTTTTTGACTCATCCATCAGTCACAGTCTGTCAGTCTGACATTTTCATTTTTGGATGCTAACTCAGATACTTTATATGGGATTGCAACTTTACTTGGGTATATGGTTACGTATAATGAGAGGAATATCCCTATTGATTTTGAGGTTTAGAAGTCAATGTCATTCTACTTCTTCTTCTACCTCTAAGTGACCACTGTTGTTAGGTTGACTATCCTGTCACTGTTTGGTGTGCGCTTGCATACTTACCAAAATAATTTTAACAGAAAAGAAAAATGAAATTTGTGCTGTACATATGTTGTGCTTTCTATGTTGTGATGTTACACTATTGTTTCAGATAAGGGTGAAGGTTTGGTACCATTAAAACGTTTAAACCTGCTGCAATTGTTTGCACCTGTCCTAAGTCAGGAATCTGATGTTCAGTAGTTGTTGTTTGTTGATGTGGTTCATAAGTGTTTCTCGTTTCTCGTTTTTTTATATAGATTAGACCGTTGGTTTTCCCGTTTGAATGGTTTTACACTAGTAATTTTTGGGGCCCTTTATAGCTTGCTGTTCGGTGTGAGCCAAGGCTCTGTGTTGAAGACCGTACTTTGACCTTTAATGATTTACTTTTATAAATTTTGACTTGGATGGAGAGTTGTCTCATTGGCACTCATACCACATCTTCTTATATCTATATAACATTTATACATGGTGAAAATAAAAACATGGGACTTGAAATTTAATGTACATGCAGTAGTCTCGTGAACGAGTCAAGACTTTCTGCAGCGGTCACCAAGGCAGGTAAGGTATTCCAATCTCTTTTTGTTCTTGGATAGAAGGACTCTTTCCTGATGCTGGTCTTGCAAGATGGTATTTGGAAAGTTTGAATATTGGTATGTCTTGATAATCTGTCTGGTGGTATCAGTTTGTTGCCAGCATCAATCTTTACTTCCTCATTTGAAATTTTGTATAAGAGGGTTAGTCTAACATTCTTTCTTCTCTCCTCTAGTGTTGGCCATTTTAGTTTTTTTAGCATAGATTCAACTGATGATGTGGTACCTGTATGTTATGTACCTTGCTGATCTTCTTTGTATCATTTCTAGCTTATGCCTGTCTTTTTATAGGTGAGGATCCCATACTGAACTTGCATATTCAACTGTCTGTCTTACTAAAGCTGTATATGCCTTTTCCTTGATCCTTGGTCAAATAAAATGAGAAGAAGATCCCTTTTGATTTGGAGGTCAATACCTCAAAGGTCAAGGTCATAGTTACTTAAGATAGACAACAAATTTTGCAGAAAATTGGTTTTCAGATGCTAAATCAAATGATAAATGTGGGATTGCAATCTTTCTTGGATATATGGTCATATAAAATGAGATCACTATGTCAAATGTCAAGGGCAATTTTTTTTCCTCAAAAGAAAATTCTCTTCAAATATTAATTTAAAAAAAAATTGGGGGTCTCAATTTATTTTGCTTATTCTTTGTATATAGTCTGAAAACAGATTAACTAAGTATTGCGAAACAGCACAGTGTATTGCACAACAGCAAGAAATCTTCAATTGAATATAAATTCAAATCATACAACCAATTTCAAGTTCTTTGAGGGGGCCTCGGTGGCCGAGTGGTCTAAGTAGTTACTACTGAAATCACTAGCCAGTCAACACTGAGGTTGTGAGTTCGAACCCCGCTTGTGCGGGTGCACTCGACTCCAATCTTGATTGACTAGGATTGTCAGTTTTCCGATCGAAGGTCAGTGGTTTTCTCAGGGCACTCCTGCCTCCTCCACCAATAAAAACTAGCCGCCACGAAATAGCCCAAAAGGGGTGCTTAAAAGTGGCGTTAAAACACCAAAAATCAAATCAAAATCAAATCAAGTTCTTGGACTACATTTATTCTGTGTCAGAAACCTATAATGTGTCAAATATTTAATTACAATCCAAATTCAGACCTGTATCAAGGTTGAATATTGTGTCCATTTTTGCCCCAACTGTTCAGTGTTGGACCTCTGCGGTCGTATCCAGTTTATCTTAGATTGTTGGTTATTAACATATCATAAAAGAAAATTCCTAATTAATTTAGAAGTGACAATGTCAAACATCAATATGATAGTTACTACAACAGATTGTGTAAAACAATATGACTGTCTGAAATCATAACAGAAATGAATCATACCTTAAGTATACGGGAAAAACTATGCCTTCAGGTTGCTGAAACTTTTTTTTTCATATTGGGAAAGTAGGGTTTCTTTGACTGATCTTTTCCTCTAAGAGCTGAAAGTTGTAGTTGAAATTTACACATTTTTCTCAGTCAATGGAAATAAACCATACCAATAATATGTTCCATCAGTATTCTTATAGATTTAATGCATTTCAGAGGCCATAAACATTTTCAGTGTTCATTCTTAACGATTTTAAATATTTCAGGCAATAAAAAGCTTTTAATATAAAATAAAGAGATGTTGTATGATTGCCACCAGAGTTCAAATGAAGTGGATATAAGCAATTATAGGCCACAGTATGGCCTTCAACAATGAGAAAAACCCATACCATATATTGTCCATTTGACTTCTATATATTTGCAGAAAAAAGTCCTTAAAAATCCATTTGTTTTAAATTCCCTTTTTTTTTCTTAATGTATGTTAATATATGATATATACAAACTCTGATTGTTAATTTCATAATTTTTGGTCTATAATTAAAAAAAGTTATCCGTAAGGTCTCTATGTTAATTTTATTTTTTGAATTGTCAAATACTTTATGGAGTAAGTATAAATATTCTTTACAGCCTTCTAATCAAAACAAAAACAATGTAATGATCTGCCATTTTGATAACTGTGCAATACAACTATATTCATATGCCAAAACAATAGTTTTAATATTCTGTTTCTATATAATAAAAAGTATTAGATATTGCCTTATTTGAATATAGAAAATAAGAATACTTGTCAACCGACTCCTTATAGGAGTTTGTTTCACTGATTGATGTTTTTATTGATTTGTCAAAAAATCCATAGTAGATATAGATGAACTTTTAAAAGCAAAATATGATATTCCAATAATTCAACATGGCAAAATTGTCTGATTTCTTATAGGAAGGATTTAGTGTTCTTAAATGACCATTTTTTACTAATTTTTTTAAAATTTTGACAATTTTCTCAATTTTTTTTATAGATAGATATAAACTGTAAACTGTAAAAATGATCATTATTGCAGATCTACAAAACAGATAAGTAAACATAGCTGATTGCAATAAAAGTAAAATTAAATATCAAAATGGCATATTTTTACCAGGTGAGCGATTCAGCCTCTTGAAAGCCTCATGCTGTTTGTTTCGGGCCCCACAGATAACTTGGCCTATAGTAATTTGCTTGTCTGCCTGTGTGTCCCTGGTATAACCTATGTTTGTGTGTCTGTGGTATAA